AATGAATCATGGAACACTACATCAAAAACTAATGATGTAATGTATGGTGATTAACATAACAGTAAAAAATTAAAAATTAAATACTATAGTTTTATTTCTTAAAAGTCACAAAGTTGAAGAAGTAATATATTTATCTTATAATAATTGTATAATAGAATTGTTATATGTATAAATGTGTGTATATATTTTCCAAATCTGCATTACATTTTTATCTAAATGTAGAAAAGTATTTGGCAGATATTATATAATAGCTTACCATATTGTTGTGGTTATGTCTTTCCTTAATTAATTTTGATGCGAAGATTATGCATTGCCTGTTTAAGCTTTGCTTGTCCTTTGTGGTTTAGTAAGCATCTTTAGTTTAGTAAATACATCCCATGAAATGAGATACTGGTATTCTTTTCTACCTTATGTTTAAAACTAATTTTTAAAAACCCATACACTTCTTTTTTAAAGTTTTTCTTCATGGAACAAGAATACATATTGTCTTCTGTTGTTTCGGGATTTATTAATCTAAAGTTTCTAGTGATTGAAAATCACATATGGGTTCACCAAACATGGAAATTATATATTCCCTTTTGAATTATTCTTTTTCTCCCCCTTTCAGATTTTTTTTTAAATCTCTTCTTACTGATCTTCCTATTTTTGGTTATTTAAACCTTCACAAATGAAATCTTTTGGGAAATATTACCTGCTTTCAACTTTGGATCACTTTTTTTCCCTCCCCCTGGCATGGTAGGATATAAGTATCATAATCATTTCAATGTGAATTACATATTACTTAGTATGTAAATACCACTGAAGTAAGTTCATCTGTGTTTTGCCTCCTCGATAGGTTACTGCTTAGCCCAGAATTTTTTGAACCCGCAGGATGACTCACCTTAACTATTTCCCAGATTCCAAAATTTCAGAAGATTACTAACCTCCTCCCCCCACCCCATCTTTTTCTTCTTATTCTAGAAGGATATGGTGAAGAAATAGCCTGTACTCAGAATGGTCAGATGTACTTAAACAGAGACATTTGGAAACCTGCCCCTTGCCAGATCTGTGTCTGTGACAATGGAGCCATTCTTTGTGACAAGATACAGTGCCAGGATGTACTTGAATGTGCTGACCCTGTAACTCCTTCTGGAGAATGCTGTCCTGTCTGCCCACACACAACTGGAGGTGGCAATACGAATTTTGGTAAGAATGCTTAAGGCCAATGCAGAATTGATCCAATGACTCATCTTTATAGTTGCAGTGGTTTTTGCTCTCAGAATTCAGCAACCAAAGAGAATAATGAAGCCACTCGTCATTGACGTTTGGGGTTAATGGTTTTGCTCACCCATCTTATCTAACATTAGTGAGAGGGAGAGGATAATTTCCTGTCTTCTTAAAAACCAGGGGAATTTGGGGCTGAGTTTTATGTGGTTATGTCTAATTTGAGAATTTCTTATAGTCATTTCAGATGGTCGTTTGTTACCTTGTCCATGCTGGATGCCTCCAAAATATTTGTTGGTATTCTGTGAGGTCCATTAATGTCCAAGAAGAGATCTAGAAAACACATTTGTCTTCTCTGGTGCCAAGGTTGCTCTTGGGAATTGAATAATTATTTCTAATCTAATTTAATGCCAGACCACCCTCTGTTACATCGACTCATAAATGCAGAATGCTTTTAATGATGGCTCAGAAAGACAAAAGAATGAGATGGATTTCCTGAAGAAAAGAATGATATAAATTCCTGGTTTTTAAAACTTTTTTTGGAGGCAAATATCTGTGTTTAATATAGACTGTATTTGAATACATGTGTTAAAGACACATTAGAGAAACAAGTTCATATTTATATGTTTTGATGAACCAGGTAAGATTAATATTAAACTACTAGGTTATTTGTTTTAGTAGTCATGAATGTTTTAGCGGTGCGTGCATCATTGTCAAGATAGTGTTAAGGCTTTATTCTCCTCTGCTCAAAATTCCATTGCAATAACAACAAATAAAATGAGGTATTCAGCCATACTTTCGTGAAATATTAGACAGTAATTTACCAGTTCTCCTCTTGGATATCATTCAACAGTAACAGTGTGCCTTGAATAAATACCTAAACTCAATTTTTTGCAATGTAATCAGAAAGATATAATGGGAAGAATTAAAAATATGACACCTAAGGGCTATCCAAAGCTGATGCAGTCTGCAAAGAAGCTCCGGGAACAAAGTAAAATTAAACCTGTGGGGATAAGTAAGTTGGGACAAGAGTGGCAAATAAAAAAAATAGCAAAATATGTGACCTTCTGCAAATAGCTGGGTTTGGAAAGTCCAGTTTGTTCCAAAATGAATAATAAAAACAGAGCTAGCAACAGCATTGATGCAAAGATACTTTAAGAAAAAAGGTGGGAGAGTTTAGCTACATTTACAAAACAAAGAACATGCTGGTAAATATATTACCACAGAACTGATAAAAATTATGACCATTTCACCATAAACTAAATAAAACTTAGTGGAGTAATTTATTAAGAAAGGCCTACATTAGAAATACAAAATAATTAATGATGAAGAAAAAAGTAGAAAGAAAACCAAAAACCATCATAGGGAAATGAAGATGACAGAGGAAGAAGCACAGGAAGAATCAACACTGCCATTAAAAAAATAGCATTTGCTTTTCCTCATAATTGAAATAAAGATATTTGGCAAAAATGAATGAATATTCTTGATAAAGATGCTTAGTAACTTAATACCAAATGGCATTTCATTAACATGATAAAATATTTACTTCTCAGCTTAAAAGCTTCATTATGTTTAGTACTAGACTTATTTTCTTTAAACTCAGAGATAGAACATGGATATCCATCATCACAACTACAATTTAATATTATTGAATATACCTGAACAAACAATTAGATAAGAAAAAGAAATGAAAGTTTTAGAAATTAGAAGAGAGGAGGTAAAATGATTAGTTGCAGAAAATATAATTGTGTTCTTATAAAGCTTAAAGGGAATGGAGTAAAAAACTACTAAAAATTAATTTAGTAAGACAATGCATTGTAAAATCAACAAATTAGTAGATTTACTATATACCAACAATCACCCCGTAGAATAAATAATGGAAATAAAAAATACCTCATTTATAATAGCAACAGATAGGATAAAATGGCTAAGAATAAACAACATGAAATGTATAAGATCTACCTGCAAAAAACTGTAAAACACTACTAACTCAAATGACAACTTTAAGAAATGGAATGTCCCATTATATTTTTGGTTAGGAAGACTAGTAATAGAAAAATCACTAATAGTGGCCCCCTCTGGGGGTTTGAAATATGGGAAATAGGGGAAAGGGACAGGATAGAAGAAGCTTTTTTCATTCTATAATTGTATACATTTAATGTATTTTGGTTTTTTAGCTGTATGAATGAAGAGCCTACTCAAAACAAAAATATAAAATATTGATTGAAGATAATTCATTACAATTTTAATAGTTAATTTTACAATTTAATGAACTTTAAATGCTATATGAATGGTGTGAAGAATATTTACATAATGTCAGAATTTTCTAAAGGGATGTATTACTTTGTCCGTTATGGAAATATTGATCTAAAACAACTTTTGAGTTCTGTCTACTCGTAATAAGGAAACCTGTTTAAGTTAAATTCTACACCCCAAAAACCTATTACTGAAAATAAATATTTAGGAGATCCTCAATAACTGTTTCTCCTTAAAATAACATATTTAATGTATTTATTCTTCTCTTTTCATAGGTAGAGGAAGAAAGGTAAGTTTTACTTTGCATAGTTTCATTTTCATAAAATATCTTTTTCATTCTAACACTGTCCACTCAGGACTGTGCTTTATAGTATTTGAAAGCCTTTTGTAAAGTACAAATTGCCAAATATAAATATATGAGATACTTTGCTTATAGATTACAGTTGCCTCTATTTTATTCACTTTGTTAATTTTTGTTTATAGATGTTTCTTTTAGAAGATTCTAAATCCCCTAGGGATTGAGACTATTCCACATTAACCTTCGAATTACTTGCATTTATTGGGGTGCCTGGGTGGCTCAGTCTGTTAAGTGACTGATTCTTGATTTTAGCTCAGGTCAGGGTCTCAGGGTCATGAGATGGAGCCCCCTGTCAGGCTCCATGCTGGGCGTGGAGCCTGCTTAAGATTCTCCCTCTTCCTCTGACTCTCCTCCCCCTCCCTCTCTAAAAAAAAAAAGAACAAATTATTTGCATTTACCACTGTGCTTAGTATATACCTTACACATATTAGAAGTTCAGTAACTGCTTAATTGAAGGAAGGATGGATGGAAGGAAGGAAGGAAGAAAGAAAGAGTGGGTGGGGGGATGATGGGTGTGCCCTCAGTGGGGTTGTGGCCCCTCTTCTATTGGTTGGAAAGTAAATATTCACTTAAAAGAAGTAATTGAACACTTTACCAAACACACATCACCTTCTCTTCTCTCCCCTTCCCCCGGTTCAAGGAGCCTATAATCTAATAATCCCAGAAACAATCCTTACACTCAAGAGGACAGTGTGGTACAATTTAGCCATGACCCTAGATATAGCTGGCCAATTTAACCACTTGTCTTCTGGATATGGGTAATCCCCTGAGTGAAGAGAGTTCCATTCCCTTGGAATTGTTCTCAGTTTTCTAGTTAATTTGAAAACGGTGGCATTTTCTTCAGTCTTATCCAGATGGGATGGACTCAAGGATCAGGAATGGAAATAGGCAGTCATCCTGAACTTCATGGCAGATATTAGGCAGATTACCACCAACTTTAAATTGTCTTTACTTTTGCATACAGTAGAACTTCAGTAAGGTGAAAATCAGATAATCAGATAAAGCAATGCTATACCTTCATGGTAAATGAAAGTGATGCTATCAAGGGGAGGTCCTGGCTACTTTTACACTTTTTAGTTAAAGGGGTAATACCATAAATTGTCTTATTTGGAACAAATATCAGTGAAGCCATTTAGATTTGAATAGATGTCAAAGGAGTGGGTCTATAAATACCAGCTCACATTTAATTTACTTTTGAAATTAAATCTGAAATTTCCCAAAGGCAGTGCTGGAGGAGGGCACTCTCAAAGCAGCTGCCAATTTACCACATTCTAGTTATGTGCCACTATCTTCATGACTCTGTCATTTATTATCAAGTGCCATCAGAACTATCAGAGCAGAAATGTAATGTAATAAAAGTGTATTTTGTGCTTGGTTTATATGAATATTGATTTTATTTATAACATATTCGTTCATTCATGTTAACCCCCAAATAAGTACTGAGCCTTTGTCATATCCCTGTATGAGGCAAAGGATACAGATGATGCAATGATGGGAAAAACACTGTGATGGTCTCCATGGTAACGCCATCCTGTAAAAGTGGGGTGAGGCATGTCCATGTGGCATTAAGTGATGAATAATAGACAAGAAGCAAAATTAAGCTATAATTCTCATCCGAATCTGAGTATTTTAATTTTAGGTTTCCCAGTGGGTTTGAAAATCAAATTTAGCAAAAGCTTAGACATTAACTTACTCAAAGCCCATATTAAAAAAAAAAAGCAACAAATACTTACTTGTGGCTTATTTCCAAAATAAGAGTCATTATTGAATCATTAGAAAAATGTATTATCAGACTGATAATGGAGCACTTAATCCCATATCAAGTATTGTGGAACAACAGAAAGTTCATAATAGGATATCAAAAGCCTTACAATTTAGCTGAGAAAGATATCAGCGAGTTCCATTCTCCTAAACACAAAGTAAGAGCCAAGGCTGCATTTTAATTTCTGGTCTCTTAAAATGGAGATTTCTCAACCATTCTTAGCAGACTATCCCATTTTTCTCTTTTTGGCTGAAATAATTCCTCTTCACTTTTGACTTGTTTTTCTAGATTTGTTCTAGAAAGGAACTTTTTTTTTCCCCAACATTATTCTCATAAAGTCCTTTAGGTATTGGGCATGGATTTATCTACCCTTTCTAAATAATTCAAATTCTTTCAGTATCTCAAAGAAAGCTCTTACAACTCTTAAGAGGTTAATTTTTAGGTTATGTTAAAAATAGGAAGACCTGGGCTAGAAGTTAGACTTAGAAATGCAGAAATAAGCCTGCTCTGTTTTGCTGCCCATATGTGATGATCCCTTTCTTCTAGTCTTTTTGTAGGTTGTCTTTTAGTCTCTTGTGTCCTACCTTGAACATACTCAGATAGAGCTCCATCCTGCTTCTGTAGAACCATTTCCCACTGCTGAATTCTAACCTTAGCATTAGAATCAGCAGGTGTGATCAGGGTTTGTTTCTGCCATCGAATCCATTACTAAGACTATGAGGATTGTAAAATAGTTTTTAAATTTCACTTTACAAAATTTTGTCAGATGTGAGATACTACTGGAAGGATATAATTTCATTGTACCTTTCAGGAGTATGCTTAAGTGATCTAGATCAAAAACCTGAAAAATATGTATGATCTTTAACCCACAACTTTAAATTCTAGAAATATATCATAAGGCATTAACTAGAGATGCTACACAAATATTTATAAACAAGGATATTCATTGTAGTTATTTTTAATTGTAAAAATGAAACTGTATTCTAAGAGTAAAATACTGAGGCATTGATGAGGTAAATCAAGTTCAGGTACATGATGGAAAACTAAGAATACAAGAATGTTAAAAGCAGTTGTCTCCTGGGTGTTGAGTATGAAAATTCAGACATATCCAAATGTTGGATTTTCTTTTGAGTTTTCAGACTTTGGGTAGTTTTCCTATGGTGCTTTGACTTTACAGCTTTTCATGACAAGTATCTCCTGGTCTAGTCAATTTGTTAGGCTTATTCACTATAAAAACTAAGGTGAAATAACTTTATGCTTTTCAAATATTGGATTGATATTTTTGTGTCTTTCGTATGAGTAGTAATTTTTTTCATCAATAATGTCTGACTACTGTAAATATTGTTTCTTTTCTCATCTCCTTTTTGTTTTTTACATTTCTTTTTTTTAAGATTTTATTTGAGAGAGAGAGTGTGAGCAAGAGGGAGAGCATGAGCAGGGGGGAGGGGCAGAGAGAGGGGGAGAAGCAGACCCCCCACTGAACAGGGAGCCTGACATGGGGCTCAAACCTAGGACTTTGGGATCATGACCTGAGCCAAAGGCAGATACTTCACCGACTGAGCCACCCTGGCACCCATTTTTTACATTTCTTACATTGAGATTCCCAGTGTTTATATGAAATATTCTAGTATGACATGATTATGCTCAACAAGCTATTATATTTTGATAATTGAACATTTGTTTGCTTCATAGGGACAAAAAGGAGAACCAGGATTAGTGCCTGTTGTAAGTATATATATACACATTGTTTTTTGTGTCTTTAATAAACTTATAGTTGTATATTATTGTTTACATACATACTCTCATAGAAAGGGAAATTAGTTATTTTATAACCAAGTTTTAGTATAAGACAAGCAAACCAAGAGATTGATTCTTTAATATAATATTTAATGTTTATTTATTACAATATTCCTGACTTTTATTGTCCCACGACTGAAAGTGAACATCAGGATCTTACAAAGTTAAGCACATTATATATGGATGTAAAGTGATAGTTAAGATGTATATTTTTTACAGTATAAATAGCCATGTAATCCAAATAGAAAGGCATGATTTAATGTTCCACACTTCTGGAAATATGTCTTACCATTATCCTGATTGAAATTCCCTATTTTATAAGAATTCTTAAGTTATTTAGACCTGTACATGATCAAAAAGTATATTATTAAGTAGGATGAAAATTCTTCAACCAGCAGTCTCATCGATCTCAAAGGAGTTGTCATCACTCTGTCAAGACAAAAAGTATATGCATGTTGATTTATTTGGCAGTGTTTGCATTTTTGCTTTGCCTTGAAATTGGCTTGTTTTTAACAAAGATTACCTAGAAAGTAAATCATTCATTTGTTATCTTTCATTTAAAAACCCTTACGTGTACTTACTATGCCTTAGGTGCTATTTTAAGTGCTTTGCAAATATTTATTTGTCTTCACAACTCTGCCAGGGAGGTAATTTTATAGTCATCATCACCATTTTGCAGAAGGAGGGATATTAAGCACGGAGAGGATAAGTCCAATGTCACACCACTGGGAGGGGATAGAGTTAGTGAGGATTTGAACCCAGGCCTCGTGGCTCCAGCTTTGGTGCTCAATCACTGTAACAGTACAGTCTCCCTGTATTAGAGTTCAAATTAGATAATGTCCTAACACATAAGCAAGGAGGACACGGGCATCAATTGACAACATCCATTTGCTCTAAAAAATTTCACTGGGATTTTTGTGGTTATTCTTACTTGTTTGACTATTGATTTTTCTAAAACTCTGTCAAAACTTCATCTTTACAGATTATCTTGTTTGTCGTTTAGGTAACAGGCATACGTGGGCGTCCAGGACCAGCAGTAAGTAGTTTCCTCCAACATTCATGGTACTCTTAAGTTCTTAGAGATACTGAAAATCTTTATGACTATTATACCCATCAAAAGACAATAGAATGCAAAACCATGATGCTTGGCTTCTTGAAACATTTGTTTTTGAAACAGCTTCAAGTTCAAGTGTTCCTTTGCAGCAATGAATGATGCATAAAAGATCATTTCGTTCTGAAATTGATGAACCCTGTTATTTCTCTGGGTTAGTGTCCCTGTTGGTTATGTGAAAGGCAAAGCGATCTGTTGTTACATTGTTAATTTTAGATTAGCTTTACTCCTTGAAATTAGGGCACACCTGTCTATTGTTTGACAATGATTAAAGTTAGGCTACTTTTATCTGTTTAAAACTGTTAATTTCATCTGTTAATTATATTAAATCATATTTCCATAGAATTTGAGGAATTACACATCAGAATAGCATATTACTGCTTTAGCATAGAAGACTACTGATTTCAGGTTTGGATTAGTAGTAGCATTCCTAGGTAACTAGATGGAAAACACACACGTATGTTCCCTCAGATCACTGATAATTTGGGGTTCGCACATCTATGTAGTTCTAAAAATCCGAACTGTATTTTAGTGGCCATCATTTAGTAGCAAAGGCTTGCTTGGGACGAGACAGCAAAAATGATCCTTATAAATTTTGCAGTTATTGTTCAAGTAATATGTTCAGCTCACTGGGCTCCATGACACTATGATGTAGCACTTAATTCTTTAATTCTTTACAGGCCTTTAAGCTTCATTGCTAACATAAACAGCCTTTCTGTGTACACAGGGCTTTTATATGCACATGGCTTTATTTTCTATAGTCTTCGATTGAATCGAATTAGAAAAGAAGAGTGATATTTCTGTTTTCCGGTTTTCTTAGATCAAGCAAACATTTAAAACAAAAACATCTGAAGTATGTGTGTTTTGCAGGCATACTCATCATTTTCTGTTTTAGGGACCTCCCGGATCACAAGGACCAAGAGGAGAGAGGGGCCCAAAGGGAAAACCTGTAAGTTGACAGCAGAGTCGCCTTTTTTGTGAATTGTGCCCTGTACCGAGTCAGCGCATCGAGACCGCATTCCGTGGATGCAGCGAAGAGTTGGTAGCACTGTTTCTCTCTCACCTCTATCAAATGGGACAGAATTCAGATCATGAAGTGATTGTGTGTCTCTTCTGATTCAGAGGAAATGATCACATGGTAATAATTACCTATTATCTTCGTAGGTAACACAAACGACATTTCTTCGTCCCTCAGGAGGCCAAACTAAAATAAAGTAGAACCTAAGGAAACATAATGAATACCTCATGTTGTTTTCAGAAGTTGTAAATCATGAGTGAACAATGCCAGGAATGCACTGTTGAGATAAAACACCCTAGTTCTGTGATCTGTGGTTGCTACAGGAATAACCAAACTGCATAAAGGAAAAAATTATTAGAGGACTAAATTTTCTTTCAAGTGGTTGTACAGTGAATTTATTTCCCAAGTAACACTCTATCTTTTTTCACTGCACAGCTGATACAGAGTTATCAAAGGAGTCATTTTAAAAAATCAAAAAATCCATTACCAGAACAAAGGGAACACCTCTAAATTTAAATGATCAACTTTATACCCTTGAGATAAAACATGAAGATATTATATATGCCAGATTTTTTTTCTTATTACCGAGTCCTAGGATAGCAATTCTTTTTCTTTTTAGATCTCACCCTCAGACACCAATGTCTTTCATGTATTAAATAACTGGATTAATTTTTGTATTGCTGTCAGTATCTTATGTTTTAATCAGAAAAATTTGTGCTGTTTAATTTTCTGTCTAATGACATCTACTAAATTTAACTCTCTAGATTTTTAGCCTTCCAAATATGTGTTTATCCATATGTGGATGGGAGAAATAGATGAGCAAGGAAGGAACAAACCACCTTGAATATATAAATAAAGAAAAATGTATTTTAGATCCTGTCACTGGAAACTCTTGCTACTGGTTTCATCTTTGATATTATTTTATGCTTCCACACATTTGACCAAGTATAGCATGATGACAATACTTTTTCCAAACTGGAGCTGGAGTTATGGATGGTATTGGCAGGCGTGCAGGTAAATGACAGTTTTCCTAAGGAAATGGGGCATAGTCCTATAGGTGTGTAGGAAGGCTGTGTTCTGATGACCCTAGGCTGTTCTTCATTCTTCATGCTGTGCTTACTGAGCTGCCTCAGCAGTGTTGGGAGCCTGAACACTGTTAGTGGCTCTCCAGATGTCTGCCCAGGGTCTAGAAGGACAGAAACAGATAGAAGATAACTTCAGTTAGGTGAAGCACAGGGGACCATGCAGAAAATAATGTGCATCACTGTACTCATGCCCTTAAATAATTGATAACACTGAGTCCTAAGTCTAGGTGGAAGTTACTACGGAAATAGTGGTTAGACTTTCAGAATTCCTTATTAGGATTCAGTGAGTCTACTCTTGCCCCGTCTTCTCTACTTGACTTAGTGTGTGATATGCTCCACTTCCTATCTTGGTTAACAATGAGACAATCAATGAGAATTAGGAGTGTGTGTGTGTGTGTGTGTGTGTGTAAGAGGAGTAGCTATTTATTTGGAATTAAGCAAAACAATCTTGGCAGATGCCCAAATAGGAAATCTGTTCTCTTAATCCTAGCAAGCAGTGGTGTGATGGTAAGTGTTTAACAATTGATTTGTTAAAAAAAGACGTGCCTGTACTTTTGCTGATTTCCCTGGTGTAAATGCTTCCAACATGGCCAACTGCAAGATCCTGGCATGATGTCACAAAATACCTGTAGGTAGAGTACTTTGCCTCAGGTCCCAAGACATGGAGAAGCCGCTTACCAGACAAAAGCCGTGGCTGGCACAATGTAGGCTGCTACTACAATCTTAAATACCAGTTTCTCCCTCTGCTTCCATTACCATCAAGAACACACAGAAATCTCACAATGGAAAGCTTGGTTTCTCAAGCTCAACACTATTGGTATTTGGGGCCACGTAATTCCTATGCATTGTAGGATGATTGGCAGCATTTCTGATTTCTACCCACTAGATGCCAGGGCAATACCTGTCCTCCTCCTTCATACAATTGTGATAGCTAAAAATGTCTCTTGATGTTACCGAATGTCCCCCTGGGGAAGGAGAGCAACAGTGCTCAGGATCAAGAACTACTGCTACAGAGATACTCTCACGAAACCTTCGTTCCTAGCCGATGACCATCGGGACTGTCTCTCATCATATGTCCTTGGTTTTAACTAAGTTAGCCTGATAACTTTATAGTGACAAACTAGCAATTTGTCTGTCAGAAGATGGACAATGGTGTGCTGAGTTCTAATTGCACATGACAACCTCTGTAGATCTGTTTCCTCATCTGTAAAATGGGACAATCTCACCAACTCTAACATTTCATGATGTGTGTGTGTGTGTCTGTGTGTGTGTCTGTGTCTGTGTGTGTGTCTGTGTCTGTGTGTGTGTCTGTGTGTGTTTGTGGTGAATAAAGTTCTTGACCATTGAGGTAATTTATTAGTCTTTTCTATTTGTGGATGTTTAAAGGTCGCCACCTAGTGGCAATATATAAGTACTTTTTTATGTTATGTTAATCACCATACATTACATCATTAGTTTTTGATGTAATGTTCCATGATTCATTGTTTGCGTATAACACCCAGTGCTACATTCAGTACGTGCCCTCTTTAATACCCATCACCAGGCTAACCCATCCTCCTACCCCCCTCCCCTCTAGAACCCTCAGTTTGTTTCTCAGAGTCCATAGTCTTTCATGGTTCGTCTCCCCCTCCGATTCCTCCCCCTTCATTTTTCCCTTCCTACTATCTTCTTCTTCTTCTTCTTTTTTTTTTTAACATGTAATGTATTATTTGTTTCAGAGGTACAGGTCTGTATTCATCAGTCTTACACAATAAGTACTTTTCATTGTAGATGGCTGACTAAGATTAGTACTAGAGTATCCTGGGGGATGGGTGGGAATGAGGATAAATGGAATATTTACCTTAATATAAAATGTATATAATTCAGCTCACTTAGAAATATGAAGGTGTATATTTTAATGTGTTCCCAAATTATAGTTTTTGTTTTCAATGTTTCTTAGTAAAAACTGCTCATGTACTATATTTTTCTTACTTTCACTTACAATTATGTTCACTTAATTTTGGATAATTTTTACAAATTTTTATTAATTTTAATCTCAATTTGCATAAGAGTAAATCATGTAGGTTATTTAGAGTAGATGCTTTGGAGACACAGAGTGCATCATGAAGTCAATAGAAAAGTGGGCTGTCTTCAGAGTGGACTTTAAAACATGATTATTAATCACAGAGGATGGAGAAAGGACACAATTTTTGAGGATTAATATTACCCAAACTTCTCTCTATTCTCATTGACACTAAATGTAGTTTTTGGTGTTGTCTTTAGAAATCCCCTTGGGAGCAGAGATGTTTCAGCTCACTTCTTGTATAACAATACCTGGTTATCAATTAGCAATTTCACATTTCAAAAAGACATTAGAAATTTTCCACACAAGGCTCTTTGAGTAGATCAGACTACTACATTTTCTGTGCCACTATTGACAATATGAACTTCCAGCTGATGGTGCTCACATTCCTATGATCCAGGAGTCCTAGATAGCAATTAAAATCAGCCTCTTAAGTATAATTAAAAGAGTTCAGTGAATTGACAGTGGTTTAGGAGTCAGAAAATGTTTGAGTTGATAAAGGAGGAGAATAATTTTCTGAGAAATTAGTTTTTAAAGTGGAAGTTTTTCAGACTATCTACTTCTATTTGAATAGATAAGTTTGCTTATATTCTACTCTTCCAAGAAGGAAACATATCTATATGAATCTATATAAATGTTTGAATATATTAATTAAATTACTGAATAGCTATTATGCCACCCTCCCCAAAGCCATTATATGCAAACTGCCCCCTTTCCCATCTCAGCTTGTTTTATATTTATTCTTTCTGCTGTATCAACTCATATTTTAATTACTTATTGTAAGCCAGGAGGTGTTCTCATGTTTAGGCATGAGAAGCTTCTTTTATTAAACTCCAATTCCCTTACTATATTTTTCTTGATCCCTGCTTCTAATTATGAAAATCATACTGACTTTGGAGTTCTTTGGTCCCTTCTTTCTTTTGAAAGTCTGTTAAGACTCTTCAGGGTTAAAAAGTCAGAAAATGCTTCACAAGGCTTGTGGGAATGATGAGGTTGGGGGATGGAGCATTTCCAGCACTGAGGACGTGGCTGTTCACCAAGCTGCCTTCAGAATGTGGGTTGGGAGGAGGGTGGAATTTGGCAGCTAGAAATCATTGCTCACTTCTCTGAGAACTAGACTTGGCTAGTTCTACTTGACCCAGGCTGGGTCACTGTGCCTTTCCCTCTGTTTCTCATTGGTCTGGTCTACCTTTGGGGGTGGTAAAGGAAATAAAGTGTGCCAGACTTGAAGGACTAGAATAAAGAGGATTGAAATGTGAAAACCTAATAAGCATATATTGTGTCTACTATGTTCCAAGAACTATACAAAACATTAAAAAAATTAGAAATGAAAAAACCACAAACCCCAGTCAAGGGGCTTTCAGATATTTTTTTGGTGGGAGGAGGTTAAGTAGGCACATATATAGTTAACTGTAATCTAAGACAGACAAGTGAACTTAGAAATTTTTATTAAACACCACAAAACCAACCAAATAGGGAAGCTTGTTCTAGAATACTGGTGAACTGAATGCAATTTTATAATTATTCCAAGAAGGCTCATTACTGGGGATTTCATACATCAAGAGTGAAGCTTTTACCCAGAATGTGCAACCATGCCCTGATGGAGAGGCTGTGACAAGTGCTGAAATCAGCAGTGTCAGCAGAGCTGATGAAATTACTGTAGGTGGCTGGATTGCTATTGATTTTTTTTATAGGACTTTATTATTTTCTTTTTAGAGAAGTTTGAGGTTCACATCAAAATTTAAAGGTGGGCACAGAGAGTTCTCATATACTCTCTGTCCCCATATATCCATAGCCTTCCCCATTATCAAGATCCCCCATCAGAATCCATAGTTTACATTAGAATTGCTCTTGATGGTGTACATTTTATGGGTTTGGACGAGCGTATACTGGCACATATTCATCATCAAAGTATCACACAGAGTGTTTTCACTGTTCTGAAATTCTTCTGTGCTCCGCCTTTTCATCTCCCCATTCCCACCCCAGTCCCTGGCCACCGCTAATCTTTTTACTGTCTCCATAATTTCGCCTTTTCCAGAATGTCATAGAATTGGAAGCGTACAGTATGTCTATTCCTTTTTAAAATAATGAACACTTCATCTCCATCAAGAAGTCTGTGCTTTTAGCTTTCTACTAAGTACATATTTGGCAATGTGTTCTAATTTGTGCTGGCTTGTTTTCCCAGGGTCCTCGTGGTCCTCAGGGAATTGATGGAGAACCAGGTGTTCCTGGTCAACCCGGTGCCCCAGGGCCTCCTGGACATCCATCCCACCCAGGACCTGATGGCATGAGCAGGGTGAGTTCTATGCATTATTCAATGTTATATTTAGATAATATGTTAATTTTAAAATTTTTATTATTGAGGGATAGTTGACATACAATGTTCTAGTAGTTTTGGGTATACAATGTAGTGATTCAACAATTCTATACGTTCCTCAATGCTCACCATGGTAAGTGTAGTCACCGTCTGACACCATACAATATTATTACAGTATTATTGTTTGTATCCCCTATGCTGTACTTTTCATCCCTGTGACTTATTATTTCATAACCAGAAGTTTGTGCCTCTTCATCCCCTTCACCTCTTTTGCCCATTCCCCCCACCTAAGTTTTTGATTTATTATTATGATTTTAAGTTGTCTTAGTTCACATGTTGGCCCTTGACTGGAAGAGCAGCTAAGTGAACGCAGTGCTACAATGGAGCGACAATAAAACTAGGAAATCCACAGAGAATTGTTGGAAAATTCAAAATAGCATTTTTCAAAGTACCACTTCAAATTACTTGTGTTTTTCAATGTCAGTTCTGGACTCTGCAATTTTGTTCTTTCCATTGATTCTAAAGGACTACTAATACTCTCCCCAATATAAATTGAGAAGAGCGACATCTTTCTTCTTCGGCTGTTCTCTAGGCTCAGAATGCTCACAAAATCTGTGTCATGTTGAGTTGACTGAAAAATGCTATCTGACGATTTCCCAATTTTAGTTCCCTGCCAGAAATAAAATAAAACAAAATATCTTTCTATATATGCTTCCTTGAATTCTTAGTGGCAGACGGGGATTTATGAGTAGATGCATAGCAAAACTAGGGAACATATGGACTGAAATCGGATTTTTGTTTTATTATAATTTATACAGTTGCTTCTCAACTGATTGCAGAAGGAATTGCCAATTTATTTTTTTCAACAGTATGCACATTTCCCCCACTAAGATCTGGAAATTAATCGAACTCCTGGAATATAAATGGACAGTTTTGGTCAGTTGGGTTACCAGAGTCTTTGTGATGTGAAAGAGTATAGATAAAACCATTGCCAATTCTTGGAAGAGTCAGAGAGTCATTAAAAGGATTATAAAATCTTTATCAACTTACATAAATACAGTTAAAGTTTACTGGTCATGAACAAAGAAACAAGAATATAATCTAAGTAAAATAGTCTGAAATAGAAACTGGAATCTTCAGGACAAATGTTTTAAAAGCATCTTTAAGCTTTGTTCAGACATTTGGAATGCTCCAATTGTGGGAGAAAATCAGATAAAGAGATTTAAAGCTGAAAACGATTAGACCAGCAGAACAGTATATGCTTTTACCAAAGAGGAGACATTTGGCCCATTGCAGTAGTTGTTCTGAAGGAACTTAGTTATAAAATACTCTGAGGAAGACTGTTCAATCAAAAACACATACAATGAAAAAGAACTCGAATCTCTGCGCTTTAAAGTCAAAAGTATAAAATGATTCTCAGAAGAGTCATTCTATGAGAATCCCAGAGAACGTGCATTTCTCAATTTAAAAGTTTGTTGATCTATGTCTTTTACTGTGGAAATAACATGACCAATTTGCTTTTACAGCCATTTTCAGCTCAGATGGCTGGGTTAGATGAAAAATCTGGACTTGGGAGTCAAGTAGGCCTCATGCCTGGCTCTGTGGTAAGTGCAGATTTTACTGATAATCAAAGTTTCTTGTGGAAAATAACATTATATAAAGCAAGGTTTGAATTAGCTAGTTAAAAAGTAATATGTGTCTTCTTAAACAAATCCATCCCTCCATTAACTCATTCAGTTTATTTGTCAAACCCTGCCGTGTACCAATTAAAAGCCCAGTGGTGTTCCATTCATAACTGTGCAAAGAATTTGTTGACTTTAATAAAAGGCTGCCTGTATATTTCATTTAATATTTGAAGAAAATAAAGGATTTTAAAACATATAACCACCACAACAAAACCCATACTTTTTATGGTGTTGTTAGAAACAGTGATTTGGCAAATCACTTTGACATGGGAAGTTTTGCCATTTTAATTTTCATTATTTCCTATTTAATATCCTCTGGCTGCTTATGCCAACAACTCTACAGTTTCCTGACTGGGCCTAGTAACCATTCCCATCGTCTTTTGAATTTCTTCAACTGCCAAAGAGTCCCATTTTCTCTGGGCAAGTACTTTAACGTGGGTATTTGGAGAATACAATCTCACTGAACAAATTAACACTTATCCATCCAACTCTCCCATGCTTTTTTGCTCATAACATAATTCAAAGTCATCCCAGATTAATGGAATTCTGGGCAATAGCAAGTGTAAAGTTAGACTACATACATAACCACCTCTTTTACCCATCCTTAAACACTGCCTGTCTGTCTACTTTTTAAATCACTAGCAGTATGGGCTCATTCAATGATTACCTTGGGGTATGTTTCTGAAATATATGTGTTTCCATCCATTTGAAGTTCAAATTGCATATATGTTTATTTTTTAAATGGAGCTTTTGTTTTCTTACTAGCTAAAACCCTGATCAATTCAAAATAAAAATTTAAATTTTTCCTATAAGAACAAACTTGATTTTGATTTAATTGGTTTTGCGTTTTCTGACACCTCAAAAATTATATGGATATATGATTAATACAATTTTTAAAATGGCATTTTCCTTTCCTTCCCTTTGTCATGCCTCGGTGTAATCATTTCATGTTTAAATGGAAAAAGCCTATGTGGATACTTTAAATGTTTGTTATGAAAGAAAGAAATAATCCAGAAATCTCAGTGCCATAGGTAATTTTAAACTTACATTGAATATAATCTAGTCAATATTGTTGATAGCTTCCTAAATCTTTAATTCAATGTACTCATTAAAGCTATAAGAGTTATCTGCCGTGATGCTGAAGAACGCAATAGACAGTTTGAGAATTACTTAACTGCCTGCCAAGATTTTTCTTTTGTTGGATATTCTGGTTTAACAGAGCCACCCCTTAAGCATGCAAATGTTCTTGTCCCAGAGGCACTGGGTGTATACAGGCATATTCTTTTTTCTCTTTATGAGAGTGAAAGTATGTATAAAATCATCCCAAATGTTGCCCGAACCTTAATCTTCTTGAATTTAGCTGCATTCCAGATGAGTACAAATGGAGAATGTCATCATCTTTCACTGTCAAAGCTTCACTTTTCCAGATTCTAAGCCTGATTCAACATTTTTGACCTCTTTGGCCTAATTGTCATGAACACTATGCAACTTTTATTCTCATTTGTTTTTAAGGGTCCTGTTGGCCCAAGGGGACCTCAAGGCTTACAAGGGCAGCAAGTAAGTCTTTTTATAATTAAACTACATACTATAGCAAGATAAAAACAAATACAAATAAGGTCTCTGTGACATGCGTGCTTTCGGCTGGCCTTTAAATTTCATATTGTAATGCTCACTTTGAACAGGCTGTATTCAATTAACTTCTATTCAGAAATATATGCCTCATGTTTTTCAAAGTTTCTTCATGGGGCTAAAGTTTTATCATCTGGTTTCTTTATGTGACTGGCCTCAATACAAAAGATTTTTATATGCCTTTGGTTCTGAAATAACAGATCATTATCTCATGTCATAATGAAAATTCTCCTAATTGGTTATGTGCTAACTCTGAGGCTGTGAAACCAGATCATTGAAGGCTACCACCATGTGGTATTAGAAATCACAGCCAAGGTAATCACTCCATGGGATCTTTACAAAGAGTATAATACTATCTTTCTGTAGCATGTCAAATACCAATCAAATAGTGTAGAGATATTTTTAATTTTTGTAGTGATTTGACGGGCAGTAGGAAATAATTTTTCAAAAGAAAGGGAAAAAAAAGAATTCTTAGCTCTGTCAAAGATTTCGTATTGTCATTATCATGTGTGTGGAGTCTTACTTCAAGCCATTTTATATTATTGCCCTGGATGAATAGAAAACTGTAGCTGTTGATGGTGATGAGGAAGACGATGGTCAGGATCATGATGATAAGTACCACCGATGGAACACTCCCTCTGTGCAGCACTATTCTAGGTTCTTAGCGTGCAGTTGTTATCAAGAGAGCTGTAACAGCTTAATGAAGTAGGTAGCATTATTATTCTTATTTCACAGTTAGGAAATTGAGGTTTAGAGAGATTAAGTAACTCCCCCAAAGGCACAGAGCTGGAATGTGGGAGAGCCAGCAGTTTAAGCAATTGCACTATCCTGCAGGAATATATGATTTAGCATTCTGTTTTCTTTGGTTTGTATATGTAATTTACATATAATTATATTTATTTGCATAATTTGTTCCCAATTTTAGGGTGGCGTTGGCCCTACAGGACCTCCTGGTGAACCTGGCGAACCTGGACCAATGGTAAATGTCAAGTAAGCGTGTAGACCCAGTTAAAGATGGGTCCACCATCATAATGACGTTGTGAGCTCTTTCTTTTGTCAGCCCTTTCCTAACGTAGCGAGAAATTAGGGTCCAGTTCAGGAGGCCAGTATTATGTTTCTTGTGGCAGAGTATTTAAATTCAGAGGCTTTGAATATGGTTAGCAGACCATGCCAAGATACTTGCATTTGTGAAATTAAAATTTTTTCCTTTGAGTATGTAATCTGAGGCATGCAACATAAAATTCAGAATATAAATAAAGCTGTTTTCTCTGAAATTTTTCATTTGTCTCAAGAATATTTTAGATTATATCGTTGGTAGGTATAGGCAAATGTAACTAAATCTTCTTTTTTCCCTTTCATTTTGCTTTGTTATTAGGGTCCAATAGGTACACGTGGACCAGAGGGCCCTCCTGGAAAACCTGGTGAAGATGTAAGCTGCCTGCCTTCATTATGCTTTGCAATTTTGAAGAGGTTAAGAAGGAGCTACAGTGTTAACATGGATATTATTCATTAACTCCCAGTGTATTTTCCTCGCTCTAGCTTTCATTAAATGCACGCAAAACTGGAGAACTCAGAGTGTAGTTCTACAAAAATCTAAAAGTATTCTTAATTTCAATGGTTTTATATTATTAGGTTCTGGTTTTTTCTTGCATCTCCCCCCACCCCAAGTTTTCCATTCTGATTTCTCCATAAGATATTAGACTTGCTGTCACCGCAACTTTTGCTGGTGGAAACTCTGAAGTGAACTTAAAGAAAAATACATTGCTCTGATGGCAAAACATCATTATGAGAGCTTCATTAAGTGGAATTTTTTAATGTATTAATAATATAGCGCTGATATTGCTCTCCAATGCTGAAAAAGCCATTTCTTCAATTGGATTTTTTTTTAAGATTTTATTTATTTATTTGACAGAGAGAGTGAGAGAGGGAACACAAGCAGGGGGGAGTGGGAGAGGGACTAGCAGGCTTCCCGCGGAGCAGGAAGCCCGATGCACGGCTCCATCCCAGGACCCTGGGATCACGACCTGAGCCAAAGGCAGACGTTTAACGACTGAGCCACCCAGGTGCCCCTTCAATTGGTTTTTTAAAGTTAAGACTCAGGGCACCTGGGTGGCTCAGATGGTTAAGCGTCTGCCTTCGGCTCAGGTCGTGATCCCAGGGTCCTGGGATCGAGTCCCGCATCGGGCTCCCTGCTAGGCGGGGAGCCTGCTTCTC